CAGCATCCGCCTGGTTGACTTGGTCTCGCGCCGAGCGCAGCGTAGCTTCCGCATCGACAAGCTGTTCGCGCAAGCGAACCACCTTGCTGAGAGTCTGTTCCATCTGCTGATCGAGCCGACGAACTTGGGAATGAGCCTGCTGCAGGCGCGTGTGATATGAAATGACATCTTGCTTCGCAACAACCTCCAAGTGACGCGCCATATCCAAGTACTTGGTAGCCGCTCCGTGATCCCCCACTTTCTGGAGCGACTCGCCCAGCGACTTGGCATCTGCGGCGGAGGTGGACGGCACTGGTCCCACAGGAAGTGGCGGGGCACGTCCTCCAGCTGCATCCCCCCGCCGTGCATCATCTTGGCGAGCCAACGCGTCCCACATGGTGGGGTCGCCTCCAAAATAACTTTTCCGGTGTCTTTCCCATTGCCGAGAACACCTCCTTTGCCCTTTACACCCGAACGGGCCCTTGTTGCCCGAACCTTTGGAGCTGTATCCGTTCCCGCACCACTAATCTGGAGGACCCGCGAGAGCCCAGCGACCATTCCCAACGTGACCGAAACCAGCAAAAAGCGTCGGAAGAGCACTGGCGCAGTGCTTGCAGTACTCGGCGTTGGTGCTGTTCTTCTTGCAACCACATCTGGGGCATACCATGCCCTTCGGCCCCCGACGACTGCCTTTTGTGACCCATGGCCCCTCAGCACCTTGGGACTAGATCCACGGCGCATACGAGAAATAATGGGCAGGCACCATCGCGAGGCATATGCAAAACTGAGAAAGCGACCGTTCCTTAAGCAGAGCGTCGTGGGGAAATGTGCCAGGCGGGCGGACGCCTGGGAAAGCAGTGGGTGCCGCAAACCCTCCAGGCCACTATGCCAAACCCTGAGCGAAACGCTACGGACTTGAGCCAACATGGCTACGGACCTCCTCCTTCTCCTCCTCATCCTCCTCTGCCTTTTCCTCCTCCTCCTCCTCCTCCTCCTCCTTGCGAGCTGAAGTCGTGAGTCTGTCGGGCGCCGTCCTCCCCCCTTTTTCCTCCCCTCCTCCTCCTCCTCCTCCTCCTCCTCCTCTTCCTCCGCCTCCTCCTCATCCTCCTCCTCTTCCTCCTCCTCCTCCTCATCCTCCTCCCCCCTTCCGCCCCCTCATTTTCCAATCGTTTTGCACTGTGCGTCGCGCGTGCCCGTGCATCCCCTCGCATCCACGAGCGGCGCCATGTGCGGGCATGTGCGTTGGTCCGCTACGGGGTGTGCAACCATGTGTGGAGGTGCGGGGCGGGGGCAAGCGGGGGGGCATGTGCGGCATGCTGTACGGAACTGTGCGGGCATGTGCGGTTGCGCGCGGCCCTGTGCAGCACCGCGGCCACGATCGGTGCCATGTGCTGACATGTGTGGCGGCATGTGCGGGCATGCGCGGGCAACGCCGGGGCAGGCAACTGAGTGTGGGCACCGACTGTATCGCCCGATTTATGTAACGCTGCTCGTACGTACTGAACAGTGGGTTCCAGCGCACGCCACACACATGCGCGTACAGTCGCAGACCATGCTCAAGGGCGGAGGCCAAACCAGAACAGTTGTGGAACAACTCGAAGCACATGCCCCCCCCCCCCCCCGCACATGGCGTCACATCACGCCCCTAGATCATAACGCTCCGATATCAGCATGCCGCGCACCTACCCGCACAACGAGCAAACATGACGATCTAAACTCGCCCGCACATGCCCCACACCGGCACTTAGATCGCGAGCTCTGTGTCTGGGCCAGCAACCTGCCGTCGTATTTTTCTTCACGACGCGGGAAGGGAGATTCTCAGGCCCCGCTCTGATCTTCCAGAGCGCTAAAAGGAAACCTCCAGACCTTTAGTCATGTCGGACTACTTAAAACCTCGCTTGGAACTTCAATTCGAAGGTCCTGGTGCTGTTTGTCAACCCTCCCGGACAAAACGCATTGGGGGAGGCCCTATCTGGGGAGGCCTGGAGACTCCCCCTCGGTCCCGCAGGATGGCTCTGCCCTCGCGGTAGTAGCACCACAACGCGTCGATGTACAGCTCCTGCCCTCCCGCCGACACTGCACGCCGTCTGGCTCTGGTGGATCCATTTCCCAACGATCCGACGATTTTTTGGAGTTGCAACCTGTTCGCTCAATCCAGCCTCAGGGGGCTGCTTTCGGGCCCAGGGGCCGCCAAAAACGGATCTGGAAGGAGAAACTGCCCCTGGGGAAGGGGTCGAGACCTCTGGGGCACGGATCGACAAATTACATCGTCGGACAGCGACTACACACCATTGCACTGTAGTTTACTCTCAATGTTCTTTGTGGGCAATCAAAAGGCTACTCGAGACGAACCGCCAGTCCCAAACCGCTGCTCCCAGGGAAGGGGGCGAGAGCTTCAGAGACCTGCAGTTCAAAATGTCCAGTCGTCGATGTCTGAGGAGATGGGCTCGTCGCTAATGCTCTCCGCACTTCCTATCTTCTTGTGAACCCCGCCTCTGTTGCTTTTGCTGCTCCCCCTCCCGCTGCTGTGCAGCCCCATCACCTCCGACGTGACACTATTTCTGTAACTCGGGAGCCCAAAAAGAACGTACGCGCCAGGCCACGGACATCGTCAGGTCGTCAGATCGCCCTCTTGTCACGCACGCTCACGCAGTGCGATCCCTCGCAAACCCATGTGAAGTCACTTGCGCGTACTGCTTCGTTTCTCTCCTGGTGACGTAGTCCCCTGTACCTCTCGACTCCTTCCACAGCGCCAGCCATTTACCTGGCTCAATTTCTGCTGAACCAGAGGCTCGAAGCACGCCCAGACGGTGGAGACTGAAAAAAAACTGCGGTGCCGACTTTCTGACGAATGATATCTGGGCAAAACCAATCAACATCAAATCGGGAAATCGGATCGAATCGGAATGCGCGTCGGATCGGCCTGCATCGGAATGGAGTCGAAATCGAATTGAATCGGCCGCGCCAACGCGCGGTCGAAACATCGGAATCGAATCGGATCGGGCCTGACGGAATCGATATCGAATCCAATCGATCGGATTTTCATCAGAAGCGTAACCACGAAAGAATGAAGACACACCTTCAGAGGTCCGCGCGGATCTCGTGGATTGGCGCTGGACACCCCCTTGCGGCGCCTGTGGCGCCGCCCCCCCGCCAGGCAGGATTGTCCCCTGCTGAGTCGTCATCATCCTCCTGTAGCGGCGCTCGATCCTCGAGGCCGAAACGGTGGGCGCCTCCTCCTCCTCCTCCTCCTCCTCCTCCTCCTCCTCCCTCCCTCTCTCCTAATCATCGATCCGCGCCCCACCGGTTTTGCCAGTCACTCGGGGGAATTAAAGGGAAAAGCCGCGGCCGAAAAACCACGTAATCTGATTTCTGGGTCTGGGTCGTCGTCCTCCTCATCGGGCGATTTTGAGTCCCCGCGCCTCCGCTAAGGCCCATAGTCGAGAGATCCTCCCGGCCACGCCGCCAATTTCGTTCTTGCTCTCTGCGCCCCCCAAGCAAAGGATGACGACGCCAAAGAAGGGCCACCCACCCGGGAAGGCGATTGAAGGTCGACACTCCCCCCATGGCCCAATCCCTCCCTGTTGTTGCCCCTGATCTTCCGCTGTGTTTTTCGGGCCACATCTCTGGCCTCCAACGGTCGTTCGGGACGATCCTGGCACCCCCCGAGCGCTGCCGGCGAGGCGCAAATGATGGAGACCACCCAGGATCTCGAAAAATTTGGAAGACCCGTGTCCTTTGGCCACCCATACCGATTCCAGCCAGCGGGACGCGCGACTTGCGCGACTCGTGCGGGCCAATCTTCCGACCAACCCTCCCGGTAAACTCATCCAGGCCGACCCTGGTTAGAGCCAATATTTTTGTAAGATGTGCTTCACCGACCCTCGCTTACCAGGGGTTATAATGCGTGTGAGATAATTGTCTGTCCCTCTCATCCTTTCCCACTCCCCCAGGGTCCTGGATCGCGTTTGGTTTGAGGGGGGGGGCCGGGGGGCACGAGCGCCAGCGCACCCCTGGGGCCTCCAGAGCCTCCAAATCCCGATCATTTGTGCATCCAAAATGTCCACAATTTCCTTTAAGCTTGCTCCAACTGGGCTCCAACACGCAAAAGAAGCCTCAGCGACACCCGCGACAGCCTCTCAAGAGGCTTCAAAGACGCTCCAAGAGGGCTCCAGACGGATCCCCACGAGCGTCACAAGGGGCAACGATCGTCTCAATGCCTGAAGACAACGTCCGCTCTAGCGCATCACGACGACCACGCAAATCGCCCAAGCGTTGAGCCTAAGCAACCTGGTCACCCTGGCGATCGCCCCCATGCGCGGCGACTGCGCCATCGGCTGTCCCTTTCCCATGCCTGTGTTAGCCAAACATGGCTGCAACCCTAACCCATATCAGCATGCACGACACTGTAGACCACAACGCGTCCCAGTACTTTCCGTGGGCTCCTCACTTCGTTCGGGCTGGGGGTCGGCCGAGTGGCGCATGCCTGTTGAATACATAGGATGGCCAAGTGATGTACGACAACACATTGGCTGAGACAAACCAAACAAACAACTTGGGTCGCTGGCTGCGGCCTGGCGGTCTCGACCCGACAGCGACAATGGAAACGGATCAGAGGATGCATTTTTAATCGTCAACTTCCCCATGGGGCCCTGCGACCCCCTGACATTTCTAAATCGTTTAGTAGGCTTCGGCTGTGTCTTCGGATTGCTTGAAAACCTGCATGCGTCGGCACCACACCCCGCCAACAGAGCCGCGAGGAGGGCCCAAACATAGCCCCAACGAAGCCCAAGGAGGGCCCCCCCAAACCTGACACACTTTGACAAACAAAATCGCACCCAACGATTCGTGTCAGGATCTGGTGCCCACCTGGGGGCACGAGGATGAGGGGGAGGAGGAGGAGGTGGAGGAGTAGGAGGGGGCACGAGGAGGAGGAGGAGGAGGAGGAGGAAGGGAGACGTCGCTTCTAAATAGACGGCACAGCTGCCCTGAGCTCGGCGACCCAAACGTGCCTCTGGAGGGTCGGAGACTCTTCTTGAGGCCGCAAGCACGAGTTTTCGTTTCAACATAAGAGCACCAATCTTTTACAGACGTGAGCGTAAGAAGAGGACCTGGGCCAGGACGCTGGTCCGCATTGCATCAGCACGGAGCCGTTTGCTCTCTCATCACAGCACCCAGAGGGCACCCGCCGTCAGCATGTCGGGCAGTGCAGGCAAGTGGACGTGTGGTGGATGTGGCAAAGCACGTTCAGCCCTGGCACTGGCGGTGTCGTTGTGGATCGGCTTGGTCCAGCAACCGCTGGCGCGCCTCACATCGCGCTGTGCAGGAGAATTATCGAAACGGCTGCCTCCCTAGCTCAGAAAGTTGTTCCAGCGCTCTCCTTCGAGGCCACTGCGTATCAGGATTGGCACACGTGGGAACCTCCTGCCAACGAGGAACAGCTGCCTCAGTATCGCAGGTCGGCCAGAGAGCGGACCACGACCCTAGCGAAGTTGGCTGTCGCCAATGTTCAGGCTGCCAAGTCCGACGGGGCAGAGCGCGCAGATATTGCCATGATTAGCTATGCCCTGAACACGCTGAAGCCCCTCGGACACCAACTTGCGGATGCGATAACCAGCTCATAGACGCGAGGCTGCAGACCCAGCAACTAGAGGAGATGGCCGAAGACCTCGAGGACAAACTATCGGACCATCGAGAAATATTTCAGAACCTGGAGCAAGCCATCCAGGACGCTTCCGTCAAGGAGGTTGCAGAAAAGGACCAAAAGATGGCGTCGGCACCCGCGGCACCAGTGGCTCCTCCTTCTGCTCCGCCACACATCCCACCGCTTCCGCCGCCAGCCTCTCGGTGCCAAGGGGCTGGGGACCACCAACTGCAGGTGTGGGGGCAAGTGCCAAGGTTCCTCAAATCGCTGCCCAGAGTGTGAGCATCACGTACTCGTCCGAGCAGCAACACACCCTGGCCACCACCATGCAGCTCTTGCTCTCGAGGCAGGACCAGATGGAGGTGCAGGTGTCCAACATGGTCCAAGGCAAAGGCGCTGCGGCCGCGTACCAGGCAGCCATGCAGGGGAAGGGCAAATGTGTTCAGGCCCATTCGTCGGAAACGAGTGCCACTAGTGCGCCGACGTCGATGCCAACAGGCGTTTCAATTGCTCCTGGCATAGGGTTCCCTGCACAGCCGCTTGCGGCGGTGACCTCAGACCCGTACATGCAGACCAAGGGCTTCTCGAAGGGCACGGGAGGACCTACTATGGCGGCATGGAACCCACCCCCTGTCGAGCACAACCAAGCCAATGCCCTGACATGCCATGTGCACAATCTGATGATGATGATGATGATGATGATGATGATGATGTTGATGATGATGATGATGATGATGATGATGATGATGATGATGATGATGATGATGATGATGATGCCCTCACCGGCAAGACACCGCGGCATCGGGGCAGTAGTGGATCTGCCAGCGATGCCTGCTCAGCTGGGACCCCGTCGCGGGGCCGAGCCGATCCCGAGCACCCAGACGGAGCCCACCCCGACGCAGATGTGGGGGCCAGGAGGAGGAGGCATCGCGTCCCAGGAGGCTACAGCCACATGGCGTGCAGCGGAGGTGAAGGCGGCGGAGTCAGCAGCGACCACTGGGAACATCTAGCCAGCAGCACATGGTGGCGCCGCTCTTGCCTTCAGAGATCAGTCAGCCTTTGACGCCTACTCAGCCTGTGCCGACTCAGGAGCTCTTGCCTGGCCCAGTCCGCTCTTGCGCCTGAGGTAGGCTTGAGCGGCGGAAGGGGCTTTCTTGCACAAATCGAAACCATCTATTCCCCCTTGAAGTTTCTCAAGCCTCTCTAGGCCGCAGGTATCACGATTGATAGGTTTTGACGGTCAGAGACGGCCATCGGGTTTGACGCCCCCCACCCTGGCGTGAAAGTCAAGGCGGTCGACGCCCTCAGGGGGCTCCCCAAACAGTCATCAACCCTTTTTGGGTGAGGCAAGGGTCACACAACACAACCATGTTACTGTGTCATGTGATGGCCTGTTCTGCCGTGATACTCCTCTCCATTGCCCGTTGCTGTGTTCAAAAGCATTGGACAGTATTCCATTGAATTTCTCTCTAGCATGTGATGCTGTACTATGTACAATTATGCTCTCGACGGGCCGGCGTAACGTCGTGACGCCTGGGCGACACCGTCGAGTTGTGGCCACTGTATACGCGATGTTGTGCTAAAGTGTGTGTGTGGTAGGGTCATGCCCCGATGAAGAATGAGACGATGTGTCCCTTAATGGTATGATGCTGACGGGCCGGCGTGACGACGTGTTGCCTGTCACGCCAGGAACATCGTCGTATCGATCATTGGTGTGACTCTTGATTCCTGTCGACGCTGACCAACATGTACGTACGGTGTACTAGTTCACGACATCCTTCTGCCCTCCCGTTGTCTCATTCATGAACGTATGCTCTATCATGCACGCTTCTGCCTCAATATGCTTTGGTACGTTCTGTTATACTCTGCCCTTCGGCACCATGTTAGGGCATGACTTGTTCTCTCAATTTATGTTCTAATATGATGTGTTCCGTGATGGGGTTGCCGGCCCGAAACCTACCAACGCCCCCCTCCTGGCCCCGGCACCCCCACCCCAGGAAAGCTCAGGTATTGGGACACCCCACACGACAATTTCTCGCCCGACACCCACCAACGCCCCCTTCCTGGCCCCGGCGCCCCCACCCAAGAGAGCCCAGTTCTTGGGACCCCCCCCCAAGAATTCCTCACCCGAAACCTACCAGCGCCCCCCTCCTGGCCCCGACACCCCCGCCCCAGGAGAGCTGTTCTTGGGGTTCCCCACGCGACAATTTCTCGCCCGAAATCAACCAACGCCTCTCTCCTGGCCCCAGCACCCCCACCCCAGAGGAGCTCAGTTCTTGGGATCCTCTTCGCGACAATTTCTCACCCGAAACCTACCAACGCCCCCCTCCTGGCCCTGGCACCCCGCCCCAGGAGAGCTCAGTTCTTGGGGCCCCCCACACAGCAATTTCGCGCCTGAAATATACCAACGCCCCCCTCCTGGCCCTGGCACCCCGCCCCAAGAGAGTTCAGTTCTTGGGGCCCCCCACACACACAACAATTTCGCGCCCGAAACCTACCAACGCCCTCCTCCTGGCCCGGGCACCCCCGCCCCAAGAGAGATCAGTTCCCGGGACCCCCCACACGACAATTTCTCGCCCGAGCCCGACCAACGCCCTCCTCCTGGCCCCGGCACCACCACCCCAGGAGAGCTCAGTTCTTGCATGGGACCCCCCACGCGGCAATTTCTCGCCCGAAACCTACCAACGCCATTTTCCTGGCCCCGGCACCCAACCCCAAGAGAGCTCAGTTAGTGGGAGCCCCCATACGACAATTTCTCGCCCGAAACCTACCAACGTTCCCCTCCTGGCCCCGGCACCCCCACCCCAGGAGAGCACACTTCTTGGGACCCCCCACGCGACAATTTCTCACCCGAAACCTACCAACGCTCCCCTCTTGGCCCCAACACCCCCACCCCAGGAGATCTCAGTTCTTGGGACCCCCCACGCGACAATTTCTCGCCCGACACCCACCAACGCTCCCCTCCTGGCCCCGGCACCGCCACCCCAGGAGAACTCAGTTCTCAGCACCCTCCACACGACAATTTCTCGCGTGGAACCTACCAACGCCCCCCTCCTGGCCCTGGCACCCCCGCCCCAGGAGAGCTCAGTTCTCGGCACCCCCCACGCGACAATTGCTCGCCCGAAACCTACCAACGCCCCCCTCCTGGCCCCGGCACCTCGCCCCAGGATAGCTCAGTTCTTGGGCCCCCCCACGCGACAATTTCTCACCCGAAACCTACCAACTGGCCCCAGCACCCCCACCCCAGGAGAGCTCAGTTCACGGGACCCCTCACGCGACAATTTCGCGCCCGAAAACTACCAACGCGCCCCTCCTGGCCCCGGCACCACCCCGCCCCAGGAGAGATCAGTTCTTGGGACGCCCCCACACGACAATTTCTCGCCCGAAACCTACCAACGCCCCCCTCCTGGCCCGAGTTCAGTTCTTGGCACCCCCCACACGACAATTTCGCGCCCGAAACCTACCAGCGCCCCCCTCCTGGCCCCGCCACCGCCACCCCAGGGGAGCTCAGTTCTTGGAACCCCCACGCGACAATTGCTCGCCCGAAACCTACCAACGCCCCCCTCCCCGCCCGAGCACCGCCACCCCAGGAGAGCTCAGTTCTTGGGGCCGCCCACACGACAATTCCTCACCCGAAACCTACCAACGCCCCCCTCCTGGCCCCAGCACCCCCACCCCAGAGGAGCTCAGTTCTTGGGACCGCCCACGTGACAATTCCTCGCCCGAAACCTACCAACGCCCCCCTCCTTGCCCTGGCACCCCCTACCTCAGGAGAGCTCAGTTTTCGGGGGGCGACAATGTCTCGCCCGAAATCTACCAATGCCAGCCCCTCGCCCGCCGACCTACTGCCGCCGGCTGAAGGCGGCCAGCCTCTGCCCTGCATTGCACTGATAGCGCGTGTACGCTTTGCGCGCGACAGATCAGCGCCGGCGCCCTGGCTGCCGCGCCCAGCGCTTCACACCGACCCCGACTTATGTCTTTTCGTTGCCGACGCGTGACTCCGCTCAGCCATTTCCTTCCTCGTGCGCTCTTCATCAGCGAAGCAGATGTTGCACCTTTGCTTTCCATCAGCCTTCTTCGCCGCTCGTTTGGCCTACCAGCTGCTGCATTCCCCTCTCCCGAAAGCGCCCTCGCAGGATGCGCATTTCAAACATCCGCGCTGCAATGTCGCGCCGTCAACGCAGCGCTTGCACTTAAGGTGTCGATCGGCCGCGCCGTCCCACATCCAATTAGAAAAACAATCGCGCCGCTGCTCCACCTCGCACTCTGCGCGTACCTTGACGCCCTCCTCGCCTCCACGCGTCGCTGTGCAGCTTCACTGCCAACGCAGCGCTTGCACTTGCGGTGTCGATCGGCCGCGCCGTCCCACATCCAATTAGAAAAACAATCGTGCCGCTGCTCCACCTCGCACTCTGCGCGCGCCTTGGCGTCCCTCCTCGCCTCCACGCGTCGCCGTGCAGCTTCGCTGCCAACGCAGCGCTTGCACTTGCGGTGTCGGTCGGCCGCGCCGCCCCACATCCAATTAGACAAACCACCTCTCCGCTGCGCCACCTCGCACCCTGAGCATGCCTTCGCGTCCTTCCTCGCCTCCACGCGTCGCTGTGCAGCTTCACTGCCAACGCAGCGCTTGCACTTGCAGCGTCGATCGGCCACGCCGTCCCACATCCGATCAACAATTTTTTACCGCTGCGCCACCTCGCAAAACGCGCAAATGATCGCGTCCTTCGTCGCTGCCATATCCCGAAGTGCAGATGCAACTTCTACGCACTTCGCGCATTGCATCAACGCGTTCGACACGTGAGCCACCATGTACTCGGAAAGCTCGTTTCTACTTTTGAAGATTCCGCATGTGCAACACACGCGCACTTTGTCCTCTTCGGCGCGCGCCTTCTCCTCCTTTCCTTGCAACTTCTTACACGATTTGCATGTGAGTTCGTCAATGCACTGCTCCGCGTTGGCAATTTCGACCCGCGTGCGCTCCTGGCCGCAGCGCGAACACTTCAGATGCCTCTTCAGCTCCTCGCACTCGAGGCACATCCCTCCTTTACATCGAGCGTTCCCTGCCTTATCCCATTGAGACTCCACGAAAGCATCCTCGTGCTTCCGCTCCTCGCATACGTAACACTTTCGCCTCTCGGGACAGTCAACGCAACGCCGTGACGTCAGCTTCGAGCTGTGGTGCTGGGATCTGCGGAATGCATCCTGGCCCCTCCACAGGAACCACTGCATGCACTGCCACGGCGTGCCCGTGCTCTCTCTGCCTTCCAAGCACAGGTTGCACACGCGGAGACCGTCGCCCCGGCCACACTGCCCGAGAACATACTGATTCTTATACGTGGCCGACGAGATGAGCACGCACTTCTCCGCAGGCATGAACTCCTTCTCGATTGCATCCCAATCCATGGGATACCCCCGCAAAGACTGCAACAATAATCCGGGCCGCTTTTCGCTCTTTCTGAGTGCGCGGCGCG